CAATACTTCAAGACTTACTAAAATTCCTATCACACCATAATGACAACACTTCAAGACTTACTAAAATTCCTATCACACCATAATGACAATACTTCAAGACTTACTAAAATTCCTATCACATCATAATGACAACTATTCACTGTATTTAGACGATCTATATATAAATACATCAGATAATAGCACAGTAATTCAAACCATATTTCCTTTCGCTGGAAAATCATTTTATTGTCAGTTTATCATGTCGTTTCTAGAAAAGTTATACAAACAAAACGTTGAGAGAGTTGAAAGTTTTTAAATCTGGATTTGTAATCGTTTCATCAGATCAAACCCTATAGTAAAATTGTCTTTGTAAACATAACTAGCATCTAAGTTTAGTGTACGTTTATCTATTTTTTAATATTTAAACATTAATTTCAAAACCAGAAAATGTACAACCCATTTATAAGTTTTAGGTTTATTAGAAATATGTTCAAATTAACGGAACTTACAAATAATTGCAATAAAATTTTAAAAATGAATTACAAAAGTATTCATTGGCTGATTTGTAATTTGTATTTTTTTTAAAGTCTGTTGGGCATTTAAAACGGTGATAATAAGACTGACTTACCTGTTCTGTAAGGTGACCCTCAGGACAATCTTTCAGAAAACCTTTGTACCTATGAAAATAAAAATGAAATAATATACTGTTGTTTAAATTAATATAGTACACAAACACAAAAATAAAAGATGGCGTTATTCACTATACGTCAAAAATAAACTCAATATTTACCACAAACAATGTATCAACAACTCTTTAGACATATACGATTAATATTCTAGCTGTTTTAATTTTAGTTTGGGAAAAATATAAAGCTCTTAATTGAAGATAGGGGTTATTTTTCTGCGCCGATGGAAGAATATTTTCAAGTTTCTGTCAGATTTTATCGTTGTAAGTCCGGGGGACAAAGCGATACGCAACTGTATGAGCATATACATCATTTTTCATATAATTCTCTGTAATAAATATGATCTTAAAATGAAATCGTATTCTCAAGAATTAGTTTATTGGCGTTTTTTTCCGATTCTTGTAATTTCTTCATTAGTAAATGTATAGGGTTATGACACAAGTTAATATGTTAGAGTCGGAACTTTAGCTTCGAACTGAGAGGCAATATGAAATAAGACGAAACAAATGCTCTTTCTGCGTGGTTGTTAAGGATGAAAACTCTAAACTTTGAGATTCCTTCAGTTAAGTCGATGACAGATCGCCGTTAAGCAACATAATTTAGGGTTAGCCATTCATCTAAGCATTATATATAATATTTGCATCAATCGTTTGTTTGTGAGCTTATTAAAACAAATTGAAAGCCGTTATGAATATCTAATTTTATGTTTTAAAGTCATGATGTACGTATGTTTATTGTACGTCTATAATGCCATAATTTATGTTGCTAAGCGTCTCATTTGAACTTTGCCAAGTAAACCCCATTTAAGGCTGAGGCTAATGAGCTGCTCGATGTGTGTCACGTGAGTATTACATTTTCTGGTCTGTTTATTATAGGCATGTTTTCTATATTTACTCATTATTGTATTTATTTCCATGTGTATTTAAAGAGTGGTACCAACGAAACCTAAATGATGTGTCAGTTCTAACAACAGAGTGCTTTTTTATCCATAGCATTGAAGTAACGAAAAAGAGAAAACTGAAAGGTACATAAATCACAATACGGTATATAGTAATGGGATACACAAAGGTTTCGGTGTAGTTCATGCAATTTAAATGATTCACGACTCACTGTCTGTCCAACACAGCTTTATTTGCTTTTTCAACAGTGCAAAACTCATTAAATTCGCTTTCCATTTTATCTCCAATTTCCAGTCGACTTTTATTATTATTCGAAGTTTTTTTTTCCATACATAATTTTTTTTATGGAAAGAGACATAAAATTATATTCCGCTACAACTTTCATTACCGTATAAAGGATACCAGAAATATGTAAGTTCAAATAGGTTTGTTCTACTAGAATTTACTGTAGCAATTTTTGAAATTTAATTTAACTTTACTTAAAAGAAAAAATCATCGAAATTGCCACTTAAAAGTTAGACAATTGGAATTAAGGGACAAAAAGAATATGTTTGTTCCTATGAACAAACAATTTAAAGTATATAATATTCTTTGAAATATTACACCTTAATGTTTAAGCAAAATCTTTATTTTTCACAAATCGCTATTTGTAATCATTTGTGCTATGTACGTTTGTTCAATTTCACTGTTTTTTGGGTCCGGAATAAATCATCATTATTTAATCTATAAAATGGTACAGTTTAATTAAAACTGACACGTTTGATTAGAACTAAGTTGACTTGAAACCACCGAGTTAGTCATACTCACATTTTACTGTGTTCAACCTAAAGACGGTTTACTTAATATGGTGTTTGTTAACATTTCAAAACAACTTACGTACATTAATTTATGTTGAAATAGATATATTAAAATTTGAAAAATTACAGCATCTATAGCAACCGCCTTCAGACATTTTTAAAACTGTTACGTCTCTGGTCGTTTGTTAATTTCCAGTAAAAAATCCTTCCGAAAAACTTCAGCGATACAAGTCCTTTCTTAAATAAAACTAGTTTATTCTTCCTCAGTCTTTGCAATACACTTAATTTCCACAGTCACTTTAACTTCAACACACGCTAGAATTCACAACGATTCACGCACTTTACTTACGGTTTGACTCGATTATCTGTCTCTATATCTCTCTGTCTGCAATTATTCTCTCTTGTCACTTCTTGCCGGTCATATATATACAAAATAGAGGGCATCTAGCAAACACTCGAGCCTTCACGAACGTTCTAGATACTCATTACGTGTTACCAGCGTCACGTGAATTCCGCTGTCGTAACAAAACCTTATTTTCTTCAGAACTCTACTTTCATTTAAGTTTGTTTGTTTATTGTTAAGATCAAAACTACACAATTGGTTATCTTTGCTGTGCCCACCACGAGTATAGAAACCTGTTGTTTAGCAATGTGAGCCCTCAGACTTGCCGCTGAGCCACCTGGGGGGGGGGGGCTTTCATTTTTAATACTTTAGTTTTTTCAATCAATTTTCACAAGATAGTAGTTAATAAAAACATAACATTATTATGTGGCTTTCTACGTGAATTATGGTCAGTATTTGAAATATTTTTCATTCTTTATGCGTGTGTACATTTTCAATCATTTCAATCAATAATACTGTACATCAAGTATTCAGCAGGACAAATTTTGTAAAGAACAACAATTGTCATTCACTTCTAACCTTAAATAATAATAAAACGTGTCACGAGTCAAAAACCTCATATTATACAAACAAACCGGTTTGTGTAATGTAAGAGGAACACACGAGTCCATAGTGGGCGGAGGCCCGGCATGGCCAGGTGGTTAGGGCGCTCGACTCGCAGTCTGAGGGTCGCGGGTTTGAATCCCCGTCCCACCAAATATGATCACCCTTTCATCAGTGGGGGCGTTATAATGTGACGGTCAATCTCACTATTTGTTGGTAAAAGAGTAACCCAAGAGTTGGCGGTGGGTGGTGATGACATGCTGCCTTCCTTCTAGTCTTACACTGCTAAATTAGGGACGGCTAGCGCAGATAGATAGCCCTCGTGTAGCTTTGCGCGAAATTCAAAAAACAAACAATCAAATCATAGTGGGCGGGAATATTTGACTTTTTACGCAATTCAACTGTAGAATTATTTTCTCGGTACAAATATATTTTATATTTAATATACTGTTTCGTGTTAATTTTATTCATCCATATCATTTATCGGTATTTTGTCTTATGTGGAACTGGGACTCAAATCTCAAAATATTAATCTGTCAGTCACTCATCCTTGTCCACCCTCAGCCTCTCTCTTCAAATAACCACAGGTTCTTCTTTCTATCAGCTCTTCAAGTAGCAGCATCCTTCAGTTCCTCCTTCTGAGACTTCTTTCATCAAGCCTCTTTTAACAACATGCCCAATCCATTTTTTATTTTGCTTCCTTTTTCTTTCCAACAAACATCTTATTTTTTGCGCCATCTCCAATACTTCTCCATTCATCTTCATTTCTGTCCAACTGATTTTCTCTACCTTTTGCCATACCCCACATTTCAAAACTTCCTAAACTTTCCTAATGTTCAAAATGTCCGCTGTGCATATCAACGCACTCTTGCACAAAGGTTTTAATCAGTCTCTTCTAGAAAGTATTTTATAGTTAGTATCTTTTCAGTTAGTTACTACATATTAACTTTACTTTTATGAAATATTTGAATGTAACATTTACGTTTTAAAGTACTTAGGAGTTAAAAGATGTAATAAAATCCTAAAACCTACATGTACGAAGTTTTGCAAAATAAATCAATTTTTTTGCCCGAAGTAATGACGAACATGGTAGGACCGCGAATATCATCACTCGTGATAAAACGTCATTTCAGCGTACTCTTGGAATTTCATTTTTTGCGAAAACTTTTGAATCATGATGCTCACTAGAACTTAGGTTCGTGCCGCATGTGCTACCTTCGGGATGGCTCAGAAACTAGTCGCAGACTTCCGAGAATTCCAGTCTTCCAATCGACACATCGCAATGCCAGACTTGAAAAATCCGATTAATGCCTCAAAAGTTTCAGAATTTGAAAGAGTGGTGGAATGTGGAATGGGAACTCTCCAGATTTAAATCCCGCCGAAAATGTCGGAGCTTTCGTTCAACAATGCACAGAAGAAATGTTGGAAACTTTGCCTGAATGCGAGAGACACAAACGTGAAACCTTGCTTCGTGTTCTCACTGGTGTGAACACAGAGCCAGCCACAAAAACAGACATGTTTGTTGCATTGCTGAAAACTTTTGCAAATCGATTAAAACTCGTGCGTGAGAACAATGGTGGCACAATCAAGCGATATTGATACTTGGAATTACTTTTTTGATTTAATTAAAATCTTATTTTATTTTGTTATGCTCTCGAGGAAAAAAGTGTGATTTATTTTGCAACACCCCTTAAGATGATAACAAGTTATTACATATTATAGAAAGTCTCGAGACTTTCAATAATTTATATATGAAAACCCAAACTTGATGGATGTACAGAACGAGTTGGGACTGCTCTTACGTCACAAAAGATAATTTGACATTTAGACAGAAACAATAAGGTATGTTTTACTTACCATTGTCTGATTTCTTCTTCTGTAACTGAAAATAAATATACATATATATATAGTTACTGTTAAATTGACATTACATTAACAATGACTTGGATATAAAATTTCCACAATGCAGTTACGTACTTATTAATTTTCTTTAACATTATAACATTACTTTTATTAATTATATATGTTGTATTTATTTCTTGGCCTTGAAGATATACTATTTATCACGATAAATCTAGATCCTGGAAAAAAATAATTATTTTATCACATGTTTGAAAAAAAGGACCAACATAATCGGATAGGCACACTAGAAAACCGCCTAGCACGACAAAATAGATGGGCTGTAAAACTAAAAACAACATAAATGCATTACCGATTAATTAATTTGCTAAGGTCGCTGAATGTTTATAATATCACCTTCTTCGTCACCTATGTG